GCTTTTTTACCATCCCCTTAAGCAGAAAAGGATCGGGAGCTTTTTGCATTTTCCCTCCCGGTCATTAACAATTCACAGCCTTTACAAAGATTTCAATGGAAGGTTTTACCTCAGGGTATGCTAAATAGCCCCACGTTGGGCGCCAGCGGATGCGTGCTCCCCACTAGAGAGAGTGGCCGCTCCGTTCCTACTTCCCCACAGGACCTGGTTGTCTCTCTGTATGTTTTTCTCGTGTGTCGACGAGCCATCCGCAGCGTTCCATGCTCACTGCAGGCCAGTGAGCGCGTGTCAGAATGACATATTTACAATGAAGGTTACAAAACTAATCTAGAGCATTTTTAAATGTAAAATAGTTCTAAAATTATGTTTAGAGATGAAAAGAACAAAAACAGGCATTTAAATAAGACACCTATAGAATAATAAAGTCCAAAAACTACATTTCAGAAATAAAATACCTCTCTGAGAAATCTTTCTGTTTTTACAGGCATTCCATTCTAAATGTCAGGCAAACATTTTTACGGGCCATTTCCTCACATACAGACAGCTCATGATATACAGAGTAAATCAGAGGCAGGAAAATAATACAACAAACTTTCCTTTAGATTAAGAGGAGGCATAGCAAAATTGTCTGTTTCTTAAATGACCAAATAAAAAAAAAGAGCCTATATTCCTTATTTTTTTCATCTCCCTGTGAGATAGAAAGATGACAGAGTACTTTGAATCATACTTCAAAAAGTATGATAATTTTTGCTTGCTTAAAAACAATAACAAAGTGCTGTTTTGAAAGGGGGCCTAGCCCATTTATCTTTACAAAGTTCTATTCCTAAAATCTGAACTTCATGCCAAAAAAAAGAAACAATATATCTTTAAAACATAAGGACATTTTTGTTTCTTCTTTAGAGGATTTGTGGCTCTGGAAGTTAATTAGTCTCTCAAAATGGATATTATGGCATTTTATCCATGAATGAAATACAGTCAACATTATTTTTTCTCTATTACTATATTCTTGAGTAAACAACACGACTTGTGATCTAAAGAACTTTTTAGGTTTTAATATAGCTTGTGAATCTAAGACCAAATTATCCAAAAACTGGTACTGATAATAACCTAAGAAAACTATAATTATCACCAATCCCAGCATTTCTCTCAGGATTGAGGTTTATTATACATAAACCTCAAATCATCATTATTATCATTATCATGATAGCCTTCAGAGATGACCTCTTTATTATGTAATATCTAATATTATAAAAACAAAGATTCAAAGAAAATCTTTAGAGTTTCAAAGTTCCATCTCCTCTCCTGCTCAAAAAGTACTAACACCATCTTCTTCACATAGCAGATGGGCAAATAAATATGTAAAACATATTGTACTTATTTAATAGTAGTTTTAAGACTTTGTACCTATGAATGTTAATTACCAAATTAAGATTAAAAATAATTTTGATTCATTGAATGAGATCTTTTATGATAAACCTTTTGAACACTCTATTAGAGCTATGCCTTCCATGAAAAAGCAAGGAAAAAAACCCCTAAATGTCTTCATTGATATCACTCAAATTAGTTCTAAATTTTGGTGGGTTTTCAAAAGCAGACCCAACAAAAGGCAAAGAATGAAAATACCAATATCCCTGGAAAGCCTTTGTTGACACCCACAGACAGGGCTGTTCTTCCTTCCACCAGACTGATTGATGACCCTTGGGCTTCATTTCTTTTCATCTCCATTTGTGAACTCCAAGTATAGTGATTGTGTACATTTACATTAGGTTCTTCAGTACCTAACACAGGGCCTGACCCACATTAGGTGCTTAATAAATCTCAAGTCATTGAATGAATGCAGTCATTTAAAAAGCTGGATAAAAGGCTGAAAAGCAGGGACCTACAGCCAAGATTGTTCTACCCAGCAAAAATATCATTTAGAATCAAAGGGCAGATAAAGATCTTCCAAGACAAGAAAAGACTAAAGGAGTTAATCATTACCAAACCATTATATGAAATGTTAAAGGGACTTATTTAAGAAAAAGATCACAACTATGAACAATAAAATGGCAATAAATATATATCTATCAACTATTGAATCTAAAAAACAAACTAAGCAAGCAAGAACAGAGACAGAATCATGGATATGGAGAGCATTTTGATGGTTGCCAGATGGAAGAGGGTGTGGAGGAATGGGTGAAGATGTGAGGGGATTAAGAAGTACAAATAAGTAGTTACAGAATAGCCATGGGGATATAAAGTACAGTATAAGAAGTGGAGTAGCCAAAGAAGTTATACACATGATGCATGGACAGGGACAATGGTGTAGTGATTGCCTAAGGGAGTGGGGATGCTGGACAGAGGAAGGCAAGGGGGTAAATACTGGAACAACTGTTATAGAATAATCAATAAAATATAATTTTTTAAAAAGAAGAGCTCAATTTCATATTATGGCCAACTTAGAATGTAAGAAGGGAGAAACTAAAGGGATGAAATCAGGAAGAAGGAAATAAAATGAAGAATAAAAGAAGATAATACTGTAGTTCCAACAGTAAATGTCAGTGGTCTATTTTCATAGACCAAATTCTAATACATTTTGAAATTCTAGTGAACTCATTAACTGGTGTTCATATTTCTTCAACTGGCTTAGTCATTATATCTATAGACACTCTATCTTATATGGGTCTCCCAAACTGCTTATTTACATAGAAATTAATCTCTGAGTTATAAGAACCAGAGAACTAGGTCTTCCAGGATCAGACAAATCCAGATAAGTATCAAAATTAGTACAGAAACTATTTCATAATCTTCAGTAGACGAGCCCTCAAAGACTTTCACAACACATAATACAACTCAAAGCCTTCCAATGATTTCAGTTCATCAGGTAATACAAAATTATACAGTAAAATCACTTTAAAAATAATTCTATGAAACATGAAATAAAGGGAATTTCTCTGTAACATGGGCTTCAAAAATGAAAACTAGATTTGAACCTCAACATCCAGAAGAATCTGAACTACACTTAGTAGTTTTAGAGTAGGCATTCCGAAACTGCAGGTCACTTTCTGTAGCACCCTCATGTTTCTGACCTTGAGCATGAACAGGCATTGGCTAATCAAAGAAGTGTGGGAAAGAACATCCTAGCATGGGCAAAAACAGTAAAAGTATATGTAGAGAGTTACAAAAGAGCTTTATTATTTATTTTCTTCTAGAATTCATCTGTATGATTTGGTCACCGACAGTAGTTTCTAAAAGGCTCCTTTCTTTATTCTTGCCACACATTCTCCTGAGAATGCAAATTAATTTATTCTGCAAGCAATTATTTAGCACCTTCAATGTGCAAGCCTAATACTATGTACATTGCTTAGATTTAAAGAAACAGAACATATGGCTGATGGTAACTTAATTTTTACCCTAGCTTTTTACTCCAGAGCTTCATACACAGTTGCATTTATTTGGCTATTTTAAATGTTAAATTAGTTTTTCACTTTCCTTTGAGTTGTAACAATAAAGGTGTAATGAAGAATAAAATCACTTAAACTCATTTATAAGGAAGGAAACAATCACAAACTAGACAAATACCCCTCTAAGTCCAGAGTGATTATTTAGTATAAAGTATAGATTCAGAACTCTAAACTCTTTGGATCATAAACCTCTTTGAAAATCCAATGAGCCCTGGCTGGTGTAGCTCAGTGGATTGAACGAGGGCTGCTAACCAAAGGGTTGGTGGTTCAATTCCCAGTCAGGGCACATGCCTGGGTTGCAGGCCAGGTCCCCAGTGGGGGCCATGTGAGAGGTAACCACACATTGATATTTCCCTCCCTCTCTTCCTCCCTCCCTTTCCCTCTCTCTAAAAACAAAGAAATAAAAAACACCTTTAAAAAAAAAAGAGAAAAGAAAATCCAATGAAAGGAAAGGATCCTGTGGTAGGCAACTTTGGACAGGGTTCCCAATAATCCCCACCTCTTTGGTATTTATAACCTTGTTTAATCTCCTCTCCTTAAGTATGGATAAACCTAGCAACTTGCTCCTTAAGAAGTGAACATGAAAAAAGTGAGAAGCTGTCTCTTCTGTGATTATGTCACAAATGACCATGACTTCTGTGTTAATAGTGCTCTCTCTTTCCCCCTCATTTGCTCTCCCTAATGAAATACGCTGCCATGTTGTGAAAAGCTCCAAGCAGAGACCCATGTGGCAAGGAACCAATTGAGGCCTCAGTCAAACAACCCACAAGGAAGTGAATCCTACCTAAAACCACGTGAGTTAGGAAGTGGATGCTCCCTACTCCAAGGAAGGACTACAGCCTTGTGAGAAACAGAGCCAGAGGATCTAGCTAAACTGTACTTAAATTTCTGACCCACAGAAACTACAATATGATAAATGTGTATCATTTCTAAGATACTAAATTTTGGAGTATCTGTTATATAGCGATAGATAACTCATATAGATCCTCTCTGCAGAAAAGTATATAGTACATGTACAAATTCCAGCACACATTTAGAGAAAACAGGAGGCCTCTCCGAAGTCCACCAACAGAATTCTTAGCGGCCCAGGGATCCCAGATTAAGAAACTTCTGATACAACGTGCACAAAAGGCCTGCAAGAATCAATTTAACCATGCTATACAGCTCAACAAGTGTCAAATACTTTCTTTCTATAAAGTATTACTAAAAAAGTTAAACTACTTTATAAATATAATTAGTGTTTTAGTACTAGTATTACCAAAGGTAAAATCAAGCCATGTTATACCAAAACATTATTTTGAATAATATATTTCATAAATACTAAGTAGATGCTGAAGATAAAATAATGACTAAGGCACTGTCCTTTACTCTGAGGACTTTACTGTCAGGTGAGTGTGACATATACACACAGTGCACATGTACCTGTACACGCACACATACACACTAGCTATCATAAGAACTCAAGAGTAAAAATAGAAATTTCTGTATGGCATCTGTTCAGGTATATGATAAAATGACTTCACGGAATTTTACTTATAAAGTAATTAAAATAATCACCTGTACTGTTTTTCCAAGTCCCATATCATCACCAAGAATACACCCTCTTCCTTGGATGAAGTGTTCATAAAGAAACTGAACTCCTTCCCTTTGATAATCTCTCAAATACCTGTTAATAGTATAAGGAATAGAGTCTCCATTTTCAGATAAACGAAAAGCAACAGCAGATGACGGAAATTTTCGGTCTGGGAAATAAGGTTTTTCTAAATCTTCATCATCAAATATGAAACTTCTAGAATAACCTTTAACAGGTTTTACTTCTTGAAGTCTTTTAAGAGGTAGTTTCCTTTCTTGAAAATCTGAATATAAGATGACTGCAAATGACTTTCCATGTTCATCCACTGTGATGGATTTTATGCTTGCTTCACAAAGTTTTTCATTATCTGGAGAAGGGACAAGACATCTTTCTCCTGGATACCATATGTCTGTAACAATAAAGAAGAAAGTATAGTTTCCAAATCTAGTTTAAAAAGTACCACCTCACTTATCCACTGCTATAAGAAAAAAAAACCTCACATAAATCCTCTTTCCAAATTACTAAAACAAGATAAATTGTACATATAATATGTATAGATATTTTCCTAATAAATATCATCAGATGTTCTCCTATAAAAAGTAGGAGAAAGGGCACATAATTTATTTCCAATGGTTCTCATCCTGGTTGTGTTACGATCTCCCCATGTATGATCGGACATTACCTCTTTTGATTCTGATTCAGTGTATATAGGCCATGGGCATCTGGTTTTATTAGGGTTTTTTTTTTTTTGGTATTGTCAAATTCAAAAACTGATTCTGCTGCACAGCCCAGGGTTTGAAACCACTGATTTAAATATTCATGATGACATTTGCATTATATAATCATTCAGTCTAGTTAGAGTAATAGTGAATAGGACTTGGTAAGGAGAAAGCTAAAATTTTCTGGACAGCAATGCTTTGTGATTCTTCTGTCTTCCTTTTTATATTCCATCATCTTTCTCTGGAGATAGCTGTTTCTTCCCACTGTCAATACTGCTGCTTCTAAACTGTTGCTTTATATGTATGTTTACAACTAACCTCCAATTCAGTGATGTGTACATGCTTTCTCAAGGTTTTTTCCCTTCTAGGTTTTAAAGAGTTAAGATTCTTTACAAAGAAACAAAACACAGATGAATTCTAAGATCTTGCTGTTAAGATTCTATTATTTTTCAAAGAGTCTGACCTCTACATACATGAATTTATTCTGTTTAACTGTACAGCTATTTTATTTTCTATTCAGAAAATATAGTACTATGAATGGTGAGGGAACTCTGTATAGAATATACTATTGGTGCAATTAAAAAGTACCAAATAGAGAAATTAAGTAAAAATAACTTTACAAATGGAATTTCTTATAGCAAGAATCCCAGAGGAACTGTATGGCTACAACTGTAAGAACAGTAAAAATTATTTTTGTCATACATTTCTCATTCAGATCCAATAACCACTGGTATAGTTTCTTAGGGTCTTCTTGATGATTTCAAGTTAGGTTTTTATAACATTTATGATTATATAATAATATGACTAGTATGTCTATACTTTCTTGAGAATAGCTCATTATGCTATATCCCATCAGTTGTTCCTCAAAAGTAAAACCATTATTCCCACTAACTTTGGTAAGACTGTGTTTTTGCAAAGCAATCAGAAGTACAAAGAAAAACTTGTTCCCCCACTCCAATATTTGGATCCAAACTATTTAAGCACTGCTACACCATTCTAAAGGACAAAGTTTAAATGTTAAACTAAACCTCTGATTCACTCTACAGGAAATAACACATAGATCAATGGGCCCTATTTTCAAAATAGTAGTATTCGGGCTTTAAAATCTAAATCAACCCCTATAGCAATTCTTAACACATTATTTTTGTTTCACATGAACTATTTGCCTACTCAGCAAATGCTTTCTAATTTTTAAAGACCTAAAATCCACTAATTTCTTTATTATTCAAAATCCATGTCTTGGCACCAATTATTAATCAGATACTATTCCACACAATGGGTACAAAATGAAAAAACAAAGTAAAAAATTATTGTGACTAAACCTTGTTAAGAACCAGACTTCCTGAATTTCATTAAATGGCATCCTCATGTAACAACTTTTCAAGGTAGAAAACCTTTAGTCTGCCCTTATTCCTCTTTTTACATTACTTCCTACATTCAGTCCATCAGAATGTCTTGCTGGTTCTACTTCAAGAGTGTATTACCTTCCTCCATGAAATAACTCTCTGAAACAATTGTTGGCAAAGTATTCTGTAGAGGTAGGTTTTAGCTGTTTGTTAATTTAGGTCTTGAAGGCTATCTTGTGTCTTGCCCTTGTAACACAAAAGCACCCAGACAACACATAAATATAAGGGCATGGCTGTGTTCCAATAAAACTTTATCTACAACAAAAAAAAATGTGCCAGTCCTGACTGGTGTGGCTGAGTGGATTGAGCACCAACCTGGGAACCAAAAAGATGCCAGATCAATTCCCAGTCAGGGCATTGCATGGGTTGTGGGCCAGGTCCCCAGTTGGGGACGGGCAAGAGGCAAGTGATGGATGATTGATGTTTCTCTTGTACATCACTGTTCCTCTCCCTCTCTTTCTGCCTCCCTTTTCCTCTCTCTAAAAATAAATAAATAAAATCTTAAAAATAAAGGTGTGCCAGATTTGGCCCATGAGTATAATTTCCTAACTTCTGTCCTAAAGCATGCCACCTTGGCTTCAGCTTTCTCCTAAATTACTGCTACAGGCTCCTAACCATTCTCTCTGCTGCCACTATTTCCCCCCATAATCTATTTTTCATATAGTAGCAATATTGCTTATTTAAAAATACAAATTAGCAAATCTTTAACTTAAAATCTTTAAGTAATCATCCACTACACAAAGAATAAGTCCAAATTCCTTACTATATAGTCCATAAACCCCTGTATGATCTGCCCCTACTTACCTCTCCAACTTAATCTGTCAATATTTCCCTTGATTCAAAAATGCTAAGCAGATCTTTTCTCTGCTGTTTTTCTGTCACCTCCTTGGAAATTTTGTCTCTGACCACCTCATTTAAAGTAGGGTACCTCATTATTCCCTAGCTCATTATTTCATTGCCTCCATAGCACATATCACAATGTTTATCACGTTTACTTATTTATGTCTTTCCCATTAGAAAATAACTTCTTTTCAAAGAAAAGCTCTGTGTTGTTCAAAATTTTATCCCCATGACCAGCATACAGTAGGCATTCAATAAACATGTGAATTTATTAACATAAACATATCCTTGATCTCATAGATCCTTGATATTTACTGAGGGAAAGAGACACTAAAACATTTACAAACATTAAATTATAGTAAGTGCTTTGGAAGAGGAGAACAGTGTGCTGTAAGAAAGAGTATTGAGGAAACAATGGAAAAAGGAAGAAAGTCTAAGAAAACTGTGTCAGTCAGAGGGTACAGGATGGGCAGAAGCCTATGGGCTTCACACAAAAAATTATGGAAATCTGTTTGGTTCCTGATTATGGCTAATTTCTAGAACTAAGTAAGTTTGAGCTAGGGCTGGAATCTCTCAAGATTCAAACTGTAGAATAAATAGCTTAAATTGGGAGGATTTCACACTTGATTGAATGGAACATGGGGTTGGTGTGGGTGTAAGGCTCCTCGTGATCTGGTCCTGGTTTTCCTCTTTAACTCATTTCCTACTTGCTCTCACTCTTCTATTCCAAACTGGCTCCCTTGCTATCCCTCACCATGGCAAGCATGCTCCTACCTCCGAGACCCCTGAGCTTTCAGTTCCTTCCTATGGCTCTCTCTCTAAATACCAAAGTGACTGATTCTTTTACTTCATTCAGGTCTCTGATTAAATGGCATCTCTTCAGAGTGTCACCTCTGATCACCCAATCTAAAATAGCACTCCCTGCCATTCTCTCTTCCTCTACCCCACTTTATTCCATTTTTGGAGAAAAATATTAAATATCTGTTATTGTTTATTTCCCCAACTTAAATATAAATTCCCTATAGCAGGGCTTAATTTGTGTTTACCACTACAACCTGGACCCTTAGAACAATGTTTGAAACTCAATATTGTAGAATTAACAAATATTTACATATAGCTAACATTCGAAGGCTTTATGTATGCCAGCATATTCTTCAAGTGAGTACTGCATTTAAGCTTCGCAACAACCCTTTCATTACTTCCTGTATGTAATATTATCAGTTCTATTTTACAAATGGTGGAACAGATAAAGGTTAACCAAGTAGCCTACAGCCACACAGCTATAAGGTGGCAGAGCCTGGGTATGAACTAAGCTATCTGATCTTGAAGCTACCCTGCTGTACCAGTTCACACATGAGTGAACAATTCCCTGGAACTGAGTAGCCCTTGCTCCTTTCAACTGAGGCATGAGCATCCCCATCACTATAATCTCCACTCAGCAGCTTCATGTATTTATTTCACTTGCTAGGTTTCTATTGGTATTGACATTTCTGGTCCCTAGGTTAAAGTGTCATCATTTTTGTTCTTCAGAGTTTTGGCTTGTTACATAAACCTCTTTGAACTTTAGCTCTGAATTCCTCATCTATTTAATGAGATCGAGATCGTCTCAAAGGAAAGCACGTAGATAAACAATCGGCATATTGCTGGGCACAGAACATGCACTCAAGCTTTTGCTATGTCTCTATAATGAAAGCTATTAAATATGGGGACAAGAAGACATCCCAGATGACTTGTGGCAGATAACCAAATCCTTCTTAAACCCTCTCTTAATGACTCCATAAAGACCCTGGACTCAATACATCATATATTAAGCTCCTTGTGTTTTAAACTGAACTAAATACCTCAACCTTTTTTATCTACTTAACAAACTTCCACCATTCACAAGGAACTGGGGCGTACAAGGACAAAGAAGGAAAATATCATTTACTGAACGCTTACTATGGGCCAGATGCTGGGTCACATAAGTGCTTTGCATATATACCATCTCATTTAATAGCCACAGTAACTTGCTCAACAACTAATGACTCCAGAGTCCAGTTTCTCAGCACTGAATCGCAAAAGATCCACCCCAGACTTGGAGAGGTTCAAATCCCAACCCTAAAGGAACTGGCAGAAACAGGCCCAACCCGTTGCAGTTAAGACCAAAGTCAGGAGACAAGAGTTTATACCTTTACCGGTGCTTTCCGCGCCACAGTTCGGGGCGGAGGGATCCATCTGGCCAGGGGGTGGGGCCTGAAGCCTGGTAACTCTCGGGCGGGGCGAGGAGGTGGCGAGCCGGAAAACCGCGGCCGACACCACCTCCCGCCGTCTCTTCGAACATCGCCTCCCTAGACCCCGACACAACCGGAGAGAGGGATCAAAGGTGCAGCCTGATGCGGTCCAGGGAGAAAGACTGATGGCGTCCGAGGCAGCGGCAGAGCCGGAAGGCGCTGTGCAGGCTGACAGGGAGGCCCTCACCTAGTCATCTCGGGTCCCACCGCCGCTGGAGGACAGCCGACCTACCGGTCGACCCCCCTAATCCTCTCTCTCAAAGCTGGGCCTCCAACTTCCAACCCTGACTCGCAAAATGTCGCGAGATGACGCTTCCGAACTGTCATCGGGATCTCGCGAGAATAGAATCTTGCATTACGTGGGCGGAGCAATCTTTGCCGGGGAGGGGGGGGGCCGGGGGTTCTCCCCCTAGAGGGCTGTAACTGTGAAGTCCGCTGTAGGTTTAAGTGTCGCGGGGTTGGATAACGCTCGCTCACGTGGTGCAGATCCTGCGTCTCCTAAAATAATCTGGGAGGAATTCCTGCCCCCGTTTCCATCGTGATCCTTTAAGGGCGGGTGGGCCGAGTGACGTTCTGGCAGCAGGCGGTTGGATGAGCTATCTGGTTTACCTTTGATTTGATTTCTTCGAACCCAGGAATTTCAGGAGGCTAGCAGGCCCCTCTTGGAGTGCTGTCTCTGCCCAGGGGGACGCCCACGCGTTGGGACACCCAGGGGAGGCTGAGTGAATTTAGCGCATTTTTATTGAGTCACACACTAAAATATAGTAAGTCTTAAATATGTAATGGAAGTTTAAAACCAGCAACATGTGCCATAAATAGAAGGCAAAGGTAAAAATGCTGTGAAAATTTAACGTGTTTTTTTCGCGTAAAGTTACCAGTATTTTGTATAATACATTACATCTAGTCTGCTTTTGTAAGCATATTTAGGGAAGTACTATGCTCATGAGTTAAATGGATACCGAACATCTAATATTGTTCCAGACTTCGTAGAATACAGAAATAGTTCCTTGACTTATTAAAATATTTTTGTATACTGTACAATACTTCATTAAATTAGGTTAGCCTGAATGGGCCTGTATTAGTTTCCTCTCGCTGCCATAACAAGTCACCACAAATGTAATGGCTTATACAGCACAAAAGTATTACAGACAACACAGATTTATTATCTTAAGAGTTCTGTAAATCAGAAGTCCTATACGGGTGTTATTAGGCTAAAATCAAGGTGTCAGCTGTGCTGAGCTGCATTATTATTTTCTGCAGACTTTAAGGAATCCCTTTTCCAGCTTCTAGAATAATTTAGACTCTCTGCATATTATTTGGCTCATGGCTCCCTTCCTCTGACTTCAAAGCCAGTGAGGTTGCATCTTTCTGACCCTTCCTAGTGTAGTCACATCACCCTCTGCAGCTGGGAAAGATTCTTTGATTTTAAGGGTTCATAGGATAAGATTGGGTCCACCTGAATAATCTAGGCTAATTCTCCCATTTTAAGGTCTGTACCCTTAATCACATCAACAAAGCCTTTTTGCCATGTAAAGTAACATTCACCTGCTTCAAAGATTAGGTTGTGAACCTCTTCTATTTTTTTTTTGGAGGGTAGTGTTATATTCTGCCTCCCACAGAAACAATGAGGAAAACTATATATATACATTCTTTAATAAATACTGAAAGTTAACAGTATGGTTTCATAAAATTCTATTTACAAGCAGATAAAAATTGTGTATCTAAGAGAAACGTCTAACTCATCCACTAATAATGCCTAAGGTACTGGCTTTCATGAATCATTTATAGGTTATCATTTAGCATCACTGCTTCAGTGTCCTCACCCATGACAGCAAAGAGGCTAACAATAGTAATCTACCTACAGGGTTATTGTAAAAATGAAATAATTGAAACACCTAAAAGGGTGCCTGGTCATATAATTCGGAGTATATGTATCGCTATTACTGTTGTTATCAATGCAGTGCATCCACATGAAAGTCGCATTCTGCGTAGCCATTCTTCAGTTTAATATTTTTGATGAGTAGTTGGTACCACATTATTACTTAAATTGGAATTTTGGACTAGATTCTTTTTTTTTTCCAAGATTTTATTTATTTTGACAGAGAGGGGAAGGGAGAGAGGGGGGGAGAAAAACACTGAGCCTCTCGTATGCACTTTCACCAGGGGTCAAACCCACAACCCATGGTGTGTGCCCTGACCAGGAATCAACTGGTGACCTTTCACTTTGCAGGATGATGTCAATCAACTGGACCACACTGGTCAGAGCTTGGACTACATTCTAATTTAAAATATCATGGATTGAAGTCATATTATTTATGTATAGCTTTTAAAAAGTGGAAAAGTCGGGCCAGCTCCCAGCCCATCAGACTGCACAAGGCCCAGTCAGGCTAGTTTTCCGACCCTCTGGAACTGCCCATGACTGAGTTATCCCAACTCAATTGATAGCCCAAGGCTTAATCAAAACTCTCTCCCACCTCCCACAATAGATATCTGATGCCAGCCATAATGGCTGGTGGTCAGTCTGACCCTCCTGCACCTGGGAACAGCCCTGCCGTTTACCTAACCCATTGTCCCAATTCACATCCTGAAACCTTGAGGCACCCACTCATAAGAACAAGACACGAATCCCTCCCCTATCCCCTCACAAACCCCTTGCTTTTTCTCTTAAAAACCCCATTCTTGCTTCCCCCAAGGCTGCAGTCGGTCCAGACTCAGCCCACCTGCAAACACAGCATCAAATAAAGGCACTTGGATCAGGTCATCTGATTCCTCCCACCTCTATTTCTCATGCACTTCTAACAGAACCTACTGATTATAATTGTAACTCTTGATTTTAATATGCACCCTAGTATTGGGAATTTTAAAATATAGGGGAAAACTCTGGTTCTTGGAATTCATGAACTCAACGTTTTCTATAAAATCAATAGCAAATGGAAATTTCAATCAAGCTTACTTTATTTTTACAACTACCAGAGAAGTTTGATTTTTTTATTCCCACTGAAATGATTCATTGTGTAATACAAACCAGGGTACAGAGCATGTTTCCCACAGCTTCTCATGGCTGGGAGAGGTGACAAGCAGATGATACGGTTTAAGATACTTTTCATAACAATGGCAAGTGGTAGCCATATGCTTCCTGAAGGGAAGCTCTGCTGCCACCCAGGTGAAGGCTTACATGACATTCAGAACATGTAGTGCCGAGTGTGAAGTCATGCAGGAAGCTCTGAGTCAGGATTTAAACTAAGGGTGGGCAGCCACATGGGAGAGCCTTGTTGCTAGCAGTGAGATAGCTGCGGTGAAGTTTAGAGAGGGTGTAGTAAATGGGGAGCCACGAAGAAGGAGAACAATGATGTGGCAACTTTGTGATGGAAGGAGTAAGCAAGCAGCTATGTAGTTAGTGGTAAGGATCCCACCATGTGGCCTTATATAGTAAGGAAAGAAATACTGCTGCTCTGATTGTGCCTACTCTAGCCAACTCCGAAGCCAGCAAAGACCCTTCCTTGCAAGACGCTGACATGCTGCCTCACAGATCTGGACTCTACCTGGATTCTTGGGACTTGTGCCTTTTCTGGATTTTACCATGAGCCAGTGTACCATGGCATGTGCTTTCCTGGACTATTAAATGGAGGCTGATGACGACGTATCCCAGATCCTGAACAAGAGGGCTGCTGTGTGAGGATGGTGACTTTGGTACCTTCCCAGAGGGACTAGAGAACTGTTTGCACAACCGGCTTAAAATAAGGACGTGGGGAACTTTTGGGCTTTTGGCTTATAGTCTTTTGGGGGAGCATGGGAAGTGCTAGGTTGCGTGGGAGAACAGAGCTCTGAGTTGAGGTACTCCCAGCCCACTGATGGTTGGAATATTGTAAATAAAAACCTGTTTCTTCCAGCATTAATGGTTGGGTCATTCACTAAGGCACCATATGAATGGGCCCCTGTCTGCTCGGTTACAAAACTATTGTCTTAATTTTCTAGAGGTCCACTGATTTATAATGTTGATCCTTAAAAAGCTGACCTCTAAAGAGAAGTTATAAGATAAATTTAGAGGTAAATTTTGATTTAAATGAATGAGATCATCTAGTGAAAGGAATACCCCTTTGAATTAACAGAAGAGGGAGCCTCATTTTCTGAGTACTTACTATTTAACATAACCACCATGGTTATGATGCATAATGAAGCAGGAATAATTATGACATAAAAACATGTTTTAGTGAATTGAATGCCTTATACAAATAGACATCCTCAAACATTCCTCTCTCATCCCTCTACCCTCCACTTAACAGTAGTTTTAGTCTGAGGCCATAGCAAGGACATCCTTGCCTAAGTGCTGATGTAACAATCCAACACTGTGATACTAATCACTGCAAAGTGAAACTGAAAGACTTTCAAAATATTCAGGAATTCCTGAAGTCAATATACATAATGTTGAATAACTAAATCACTTAAAACCATTGGGAAAGAAGGATCTAGCAAACTAGACCTATTAAAACTACAAAAAGAGGAGGAAAAGTCCCAGGTGACAGCCTAAGGAAGGACAGGAATAAAGAAGAAGAGATGAATAAGGGTCAGGTAGAAATGGTAAAAACAGAAGGGTCCTTCTTTAACAATATATAACCTAAACCTTAAAGTTTAAAAGTCAAGGTTTACAAAAATTAACGTACTTAACATTACTGAACAGTACACTTAGAAATGGTTAGGAAGGTAAATTTTATGTTACTTTTTAAACTAAAATTAAAAAAAAACTTGGGTCAACAAAAGGACAATTTGAGGCTTGAGCCAGGTATAATGAGAGACACACAGTTAATGGCAGGTCAGTGTTAGGAATACGATGAGTATTATTACACCTTGAACCTTCACCAATACCTTTTTTACTTCAGACTCATTGATACTCTAAATTAGAGATAATAGAATAGTTTGAGAACTATTTGGTGATTTACCCAAGGTTATAAAATCTGAACTAGAACCTGATTCCTGATTCTTCTACTCTGATGGGTATATTAAAATAGTTCACAGAAGATATTGTTAGATTTAAAAATTTTAAACCTATGATTCTATTTTATATACTATTTCATATCTCACATCAGATAACAAGCCTAAAAACCCTCTGACAAAACAAAACCTTCAGGTTCAAATGCTTTTAGGAAAATATTCAAAATGCAAAAAGGTATATAAAATACTCAGAGGCCAAACATAAGGAAGGAGCTGAAAACTAATTTATTAAGCTGGCACTTAGGTTACTGATGTCCTGGAGGCATTTGCCTAGCTCAGGTCTAAGTTTTAACAGTCTTGTGGGTACAGAAGACATGGTCTTCAGCC